TCGGCATTCTCCATTTGATGTACCCATTGTTCAATTTTATCAAGAATCGCAATCTTGCTTAAAATGGTTTCAACATCATTCTTCAACGAACCTAATCCCTCCTCCACCGCATCAATTCTTCCACTAGTATTCTTTCCCGCCATCCAAAAAAAAAAAAAGAAAAAAGCGCTCATATACCAAAATGATAGAACTCAACAATACATAACGGAATTGATAGAAAGTGAAAAGAATCGGAATTGACAGTCTTTATTTCAACACAATATGATTTACATAAATGCTAGGCTTTCGAGACGCCTAACTCTCTCTCCTAAAAAATTCAAAAAATTACTTGCTTTTCCTAAAGCTAAAACTCCTATTTATATTTGTTCCCCACTATTTCCCTACTAACTCTGCCAGGTTGGCACTTAACACCCAATACCCAACAGACTCCAGTAACTAACCACTAACTGACTTGCCCTTCTTTCTCCTTGTGTAAGTAAATTGTATAGGCGGCTTTAGCTGCTAAAGCTGCATCATGATAGGGGGCATTCCGAGGTTTTAAAGACCTATCGACGCCTTGTTGCGAAATGGTTTGTTTTGGAATGAAGAAAGTGGTGATGGAGTATGTTGCCAAATGTACTGTTTGCAAAACAAATAAGTACGTAGCCTTAGACCCAAGTGGATTATTGCAGCCTTTGCACATCCTTGAGCAAGTTTGGGAAGACCTCTCTATGGACTTCATTGAGGGCTTGCCTAAGTCCGATGGCTCTGATTCAATTCTAGTGGTGGTGGACCAGTTAAGTAAATATGGCCACTTCATCCCTCTTAAGCACCCATTCTCAGCTTTGGTGGTGGCATCCCCGTTTGTCCGCAAAGCAGTACGCTACATGGCATGCCCCAATCCATTGTGACTGATCGGGATCAAATTTTTCTCAGCCTGTTTTGGACTGACCTTTTTGGGCAGATAGGCAGCACTTTGACTCGCAGTAAGGCATATCACCCGCAAACGGATGGCCAAACCAGAGGTGCTCAGCGCTGTCTCAAAACTTACCTTCATTGTTATGTATCGGATAAGCCCAGGCAGCGGGCTAAGTGGCTTCGTTGGGCTGAGTATTGGTACAATAGCTCCTTTCATTCTGCCACTCATACTACTCCTTTTCGAGTCCTCTATGGCCGCGATCCACCTCCCTTGCTGCATAATCCAACTCGTCTCCTGTGGATTCTATTAAGCACTAACTTGAGGAGCGTGATGCTATGCTGAGACGCTCAAGCACCATTTGCTACATGCCAGCAACGCATGAAATCCTTTGCGGATGGCAAGAGGCACAATGTCCATTTCGAAGTCAGAGATTTGGTGGATCTCGAGTTACGCTCTTATTGGCAGAAGTCTCTTGCTCAACATCGCAATGAGAAGCTGGCTTCACATTATTACGAACCCTTTGACGTGTTGGCCAAGGTAGGTACTATTGCTTATCGCCTACAGCTGCCTGACTCAGCTACTATTCACCCTGTTTTTCGTGTCTCCCAACTTCGTTGGGCCGTTGGAGTATACCAACCTGTTTTCCCAAGCCTTCCTCCTCTCACGGCAGATTTGGCGCTGCGGGCTAAACCCGCTAATCTGCTTGGAGTGCACCAGCATCTTCATGGCTCGGTTCCTTAGCTTGAGGTGTTGATCCGTTGGGCTCGTCTTCCTCTTCATGAAGACACGTGGGAAAGCTAGCTATGATGTAAGCACGCATCAATTTCCCCACTATCACCTTGAGGACAAGGTGAAACTTTGGCCGGGGGGGTATTGATAGACCTCTAGTGCGTTTTACATATGCACGAAGGACGAAGAGGCAGCAAGTGGGCCAAGAGGAGCGGTCGTGGGGATGGATCCAGATCCGAGTGGTGAATGCGTAAAGGAAGTTGCTAAGTTGGCAGAAGGCGTGGAGTGATTGGTGCAGGAGATAATTCGCTATGCAGGAACAAGTGAAGTCGGTTAGGGAATAGAATGTCTTGGGATTGGAAATTCAGTTGGGAAGTTGTTAGAGAGAGGGAATAAAAAGTGAGCTAGATGCAAGGGGAGGGTTATCAATCAACTTGCATCTTTTGGCCAGAAGAGCTAGGCTCATTGGAAGCAGTGGTGTAACACCCACTCTTTGAGCTCTATTTTATTAAAACAAAATACGTGGATGTAATATCAAGTTGGGAAATTAGAAGCTATCAAGTAGCTTTCACGTTACTTGTGTAAAATCTCTTGTGTTGGCTTTATTTAATTGATTATTATATTAGTTTAGTTGTTGTTGCTTTTTAAGTACGATAGTTTTTCTAGATTTGTGTAGATAAATAGGTGGCTGTGTAGGTAATATAGGGCTTGTTCTTTTCAGTGAAAACCTCAAAAAAATGTAACTCGAGTTACAACTTTATTCGAGTTCATGTTCTTTTAAGTTAAACTCGAGTTTAAACTCGAGTTTAAACTCGAGTTCAAACTCGAGTTTAGGACTAAAACTCGAGTTCAAGTTTCCCCTTCAACTCGAGTTCAGAAACTCGAACTCAAATTAATGAACAATATTTTTTCTATTCTTAAAAATGCTAAAACTTTTTCGTTTTAATTCTGATTGAGATGATTTTTTTTTCTATGCGTTGACAACGAAAAGACGAATAAAACCCGACCCATATACCCTATTAAAATTTTTCATCAGCATTGAGTTTTTATTAAAATACTATCTAAATACAAATTTAAGTTTTGACTCACTCAAACACAAACTCAAAAAGATTCTTATCTCAAACCATAACTCAAATGTACACAACCAAACACAAACTCAAGTTACAAGTTCAACTCAAGTTATAACTCAAATTTAACTCAAGAATTATACTCAAGTTAAACTCCAAAAGAACAAGCCCATATACTTTTACCATTTCAGTGGATGAGAACCAAAAAGAAAAAGAAGAAAACAAAGAATATTGGAGTCAGTTGCCCACATGACTAAGGATTCGATATATATGTATATCAGCATGTGTTATGATATAAAAAAAGAAAGTATTATTTCCTTATTCTAGATATATATATATATATATAATACCGTAGAGAAACTAATTTCAGCTCAGTTAGTACTTCCTCCGTTTCAAGATTACTGAAAGCTTCTAAGATACTAAAATAAGGGAAGCTAGAGACTTTTCTTTACAGTATCGTGAGCAAAGGTAAGTAGAATCTTCAACTGTCTCACAAGAATAATATTATGATTATTATGTTTGCTATGTCTACGTAACTATGTGCACTTATATGTCTCGGTGATTTATGAAGTGTATGGATGCATGGCAAATTTACATGTTCATTGTACATTTAAGCATTCATGACATGATATGACACGTCATACGAAATATGTTATAAAGAGAAATGAGGATTTTCCCAAAATGAAGTATGGTACTTGATTTGTGGTCGGGTAGGCACGGGACGCAGGTGGGACCGGTGGACCCAAAGACTGATGATAAATACTTGAGGTCAAAAGACCGGTATGGGAAAGCCACAAAGACTAAGACTGAATACGGCAAATACCTGAGGTCGAAAGACCAAGTATGGAAGTCCCGTATTATTATATTTTATTGGCCAAAACATGATGAACAGGTTCCGAAAACCACGGCCTATCATCGTCAGTTAAGTACCACACTTCAGGGTACCCAAAAGACTGTTCACGGCATCCTCATGCAAAGTATATGTTCATGCATAAGTTCTGCTTACTGAGCTTTTAGCTCATGTAGTTCTTGTGATACAAGTTGGTGGTATTGCTAGGTAAATAGGACAGAAGGTTGACTGGGTACGAGATTCTGAAGTCCCATGACAAGTGGAGATGTTGCTTAGAGAGAATTATGTTTTATTTTGTGATAGAACTGTAAACTTTACTTAGAATCATTGGAAGTAAATGATAGTTTAAGCATATTTTCTCTAAGTGTTTCTTTTTATTATTTAAAATTATTTCGCTACCTCTTAATTTTCTTTTTGGATTATAATTTAAACATTGAGAAGATTATGACAAGTAGCGCTTTTTAGGCTGGCTAATACAAGTAAATAAATAAAATGACCTTCTAGCTTAGGGGGCGTTACAAGTGAACTCTCAAATATTCCACCTATCCTTAGCTTAATTTCCTTTCTCTTTTCTGCTTCATTAGATTCTGTTATGTTTACTCAACTTTTGATCGATCAATATAATCCATATTTTCTCTCATTGGGTGTTTAAGCTGTGAATTATTTCTCTGATCTCATCAATTTGTATACAAGACAAGCACACACATAGTTTTCATCCTCATCAAGTCCTTGTTTGAGAATTATCATAAAAGATGAAATCTCTTTCTATTTTTGTTACAGTTGGAATTTCATTATTCTTTTTCCAGGCTAATTTGTGAAAGCTATTGAAACAGATTTCTTCAAGATGGATTTCGAGAGTCAAAGGTCATGGCTTTTAGAAAACTTTCAAAACGAATGTTATAACATTTTTAAAGCATATGAATGAAAATTTTACCAGCTATTGAGAGACGCTGTGCTTCAGATTTCGTCCCATTCACAAACTCGTCAACACGACCTTCAACAAATGGCTGAAGGCGATCTTTTAGAATTGATATAAGCTTTTCTTCTCTCGCCTTTTGCAATGCCTATTGAAAAGACGAAGAGGTACTTTCAGTTGAGATCATTGCAAAATCAAGGTAATCTAAAAAATACTTCAAAAGTACACCTTCAACTTCTCCTGAACTCTATGCTGTCGGACTTCAGGATCATAAGATTCTTCTTCAGTTTCAATAGATGCCAAAGATGCCAAAGATGCCAAAGCAAGTTGACCAACATAATCTTCAAATAGTTCACTTCCAAAAAGCATTCCAAACACAACTGAAGGGTCCACCATGGAGTCTCTGACAATGCATAATAAATTGAATTGACAGATACCATATCACATGTTTTCCTTCATATATAGAGCAACAAGTAGAATAGAAATTTAAGAAAATAGATAAGCTATTGATGAGGAACAAGATATAAGTATTAGGAATTTATTGTTATATTTAATCTATCAGGATTGTTTAAGATTTAGTTAATTTTATTTCATTATTATGTTATATTTATCTTATTATTAGGTTTAATTCAACTGTAAATAAATCTAGTGATTGTATTTTCACTTTACACAAATTCTCCATTGTCCTCTTCTTTTCTCTCTTCTTTTCCCTCCATTTCTTAAATATATCTTGGTCCGGCAACAACAATGTATCTAATGGATTAACAAATCAATGATAAATCAGTGAGTTGAACTACTTCTTTTGATACGATGAACCTATCACTTCAGAGCATAGTGAAGATTGATTGCTTAGAGTTGTACCCTATCAAAAATAGATGTTAACAATGAAGAAAAGTAATTCTCTTACAACCACCAAAAAAAGAAAAAATAAAATAACCACCATATCAGCAAATGTTCATAGAACCACCGATGGATAATGCTCTAGGGGAGAACTATTCATCAATCAAGAAATCGTCTTAGATTGGGCAAATAATGATTTCAAGTAACTAGATAGTATAAACGAGGTGGATCACGAGTTAATTTTCAAAAGTTACATCACACCCACATTATCTTTTCAAGCAACAAAGAAATCTACGTTTGGCATGGTAATATGGTGTTACTAAATTTTCAAGGTTCTCCTAAACTTACTGTGGTATCCCTGCCTTTCCATGCTTGTCATACGCTTCACGCTTCTCAGGATCGCTCAGAACTTGATAAGCTTCACCTAGTGCCTTTATGCATGTACCAATACCATAACCCAGAAATTGAGTGCCAGCAAATTATTATTTTTTTTTAAAAAGAAACAAGCGAAAATTTTATTAAGAAACGCACAGAACAAAGGGTACAAAAAGATTAAAGATGGACGAGAGATCCAAAAAAAAACAGAGAGATGCCAAGAGATTTCAAAATTTCTTCTTTTACATGATTTAAATAAAATAAATAATAAATAAAAAAACCCACTCCAGCCATACAAATTAGCATAATGTTACTATCTCTCCTTATCCAATCTTGTACTTCCCCAAAAAGTAGAAGCTTTTAGTTATAAGTGTAATTTAGATGCAATAAAATATCAGTATATTTATCCTGCATGCATAACTAAACTCAGAGCTTATATCAACATACCTGGAAATTTTCAGCTGCTTTTGGATCTCCAGGGTTTTTATCGGGGTGAACTAGCCTGGCCTGGAAAGAAGACATAGAACCATGGTGTAATTGAGGAGAAATAGCCATCACCATAAACCATACTACTTTTCTCCTTGTAAAAGCTCAAAAAACAAAAAACAAAAACAAAAACAAAAAAAAAAACAATTTGAAATCCTCAAAATATGAGGAGGAAACCAGAAAAACCAATCTAAAAACAATGCATGAAATGAAATGAACAACAACACTAACATTTAAAAAAGTCCTTCTTAGACTGTTTTCCTATGGCGGGCTTTAAAAAGCGGGACAGATTGCAATGGCTCTTTCACACGTAAAATTCTTAGGCTGTCCGAGTAATGGGATAACTAGGCGGTAGTGTGGAAGCTCAAAAGTTGCAAAAAGATGAAAGATTTAAGCATATATTCCAAGCAATGTACCTTCAAATTCTCTTAACTCATCCAACTATTTGAAAAGCAGAAAAGCTGCAAAAAATAAAGGATATTGCCAAGGGAGAAGTATAAGGGTAAAAGAAGTATATATTCCAATCCATGCATCTACAAATTCTATCAACCCAGATTAATTCATTGGAACTCTAAATAGTAACATAAAGAATCTTGAATCTCTTTCTGCTGATATAAAAGGAAGGATCATTAGTGTCATGTCATCTCGTCCCCGTCCTCTTTATCTATAGCAAAAATCTCAAGCCCGCTAATATTACGAAAAGGACCCGATCAAATTCTATTCAAAGAACTCAATTCCACTCTCATTACCGCCGCACGGTACATTGACCGGATAGCTAGGGACCTCAAAGCGAAGCTATGAAGTATCGAACCTTAAAATTATCCAAGAAAAAAAAAACAGAGAGAGAAAAGGCATCCTAACTAGTGCACCGCCCTCTGGTGGAAGAAAATAGAATCCTTCTGTTGAACATAACAAACATCCAAATTATAACGACCCAGAAACTAATGTCTACGGCCTATAAACTTTTGAGATGGGCAACACCCATTTTCTATTTTCTCCAGGTTCAACAACATTTTCATTTTCCAAATTTCAAAAAAAAAAACCATGAATTAGAAAATTTTAAAGAGATGAAAATTTTATTTACCTTGAGATAGTAAGCCTTCAGCAGGAGAGGCGTCAACATGGACACCCAATATCTCATAATAAGCTGTCTCCTTCACCATTTCTTTTCGTCAGATCACAAAAACTCTGAAACGGAAGAAAATCAATAAATAAATACATCTTTTATTTTATTTTTGCTAAAAAGATCAAAAAGTTTCATACTTTAACCCAAAAAACGAGGGAAAATTAGCTCCTTGTTTATAATTTTTTTTTTCAAACAAAACAGGAAAAAAATTTATTTAAAAGAAAAAAGAAGGAAATGTGAAAATTAAACAAATAAGCTGGGGAACAAAAACAACTTACGAGAGCCAGAGGTTAGTAACAATCTTTAAGTGGGAAACAGGAATAGCCCAGATTGAGAGAATAATCAAGCTTTTAGTCCTTTAATTTTATTTATTTTTTCTTTTTTTTTTTTTTGTAAAGAAAAAGAGAGAGAGAAGTGAGATGGTAGCTTTTAAAAATAACAGGGACAAGATGACACTTGACAGTTGCCAGACCGTGAATGAGATGGAAGGAATGAAGAAAGACAGATTGTACGACGTCGTTATTCGCGATGCTTCGTTTGGGTAAATGACTTGTTGGTTGAGCGGGACTTTCGGACACGGCAGTTTATGTTCATGGGCCCATCCACGTGGTGAAAGTAATAGCATTTTGAGATAGACGTATAAATTTGGGCCGCTGTCGAGTTAAGTTGATCTTAAAAGAGAGATGATTGATTTAGTTGATTCTAAATTTAAAAAATTTATGTTCAGTTTATTTTATTAATTTAAGTTTAGAATTTAAACTTTAATATTATAAAAAATATTTAAAAATAGTCATATTTAATTTTTTTATTACAATAAAAAGTTCTCACGTAAAATCACATCTCAACTCAAATTAAAAACTCGAATCAGAGAACAAAACGGGCCCTTAGGGACTGTCTGTCTATGTCCAAAGTTTTATAAGGTATTTTCAAAAAAAAAATTTAAAAATATGATGTTTGGATCAGGCCAGGCTGAGCCGACTCTAAAAGAAAAATGGACGGTCTAGTTCAGCCCAAAGCTTAAAAAATCTAGGGCCAGCCCGGCCCGAGCCTAGCTAACAGTGGCGGGCCTCAGCCCTGTCCGTTTAATTCGGTATAATCTTGCAGCTCTATCTTGGGATAATTGATTTTTTAATAACTTGTTGACAGTGGATTTCTGTCAACTAAATATTAATTCTCTGAGAACATTCACAGTAACCTCTCACGGATTAATTAAGGATTAATGCTATGGAATAATGTAGAGAAGACAAGAATTTATAGTGGTTCGGCAAGATTTCTTGGCATAATCTACTTGTGGATGCACTAATACTTTGTTGATTACAATCTCTCTGGAGTAGTAGAATAGTGCGTAAAAAACTTAATGAATTCTCATGGCTCTATTTATTTGTACACATGAGAGACTTCCTCTATATTTTCCGAGGAGATTATCCTCTATCCCTAAATTCTGGGATTTGACAGTTGTATTTTCATGATTACAGCTCCCCGGTCAGGCCAACCACCTTTACCGGTTACCTGATTTCTTGACTTTAACAGTATAGTTGGTACAGTGTATCTTTCCTTGAGTTGACAGGACTATCTTTAAATTGGACTAGGCTGATACCTCGATGTCGTGGCCTTTACCACCCGTCAGGGCTCTCGACGCACGTTATCCCGCATGAACTCTCGACGTATACAGGGCGCCTTAAGTATTGTCGTCTCCTCGACACCAGCGACCGATTCTCGACATGGAAGCCTCGGCGCTTGTTGTCCAAAGGAACGATCAATTGCTCGACCGTGGTGTAACAATACTTTTTAAAAATTTTAAGTTAGTACGTCTAATATATAGTTTGAAGTGAAACTTAGGCTTAACGAGTGTGTTTGTAATTGGTTTTTTGTTTGGGGCATTTGAAACTCGTTCCAAAATGATTTTATTTTTTGTATGAACATGAAAATGAAATCGTTTTCAATCTTAGACAGACATCATTTTTGAAATGTGTTTGGTAGTTTTATCAAGAGATTATTTTCAGTATAAAAAAACTCATTAATGTCTCTCTCTCTACTCGAGAGAGGAGAAAATGAAAACAAAAAATGAAAAATGACTAAAAATCATTTTTCATTTATCTCTCATTTTAGGAAACGACACAAAGCAATGACAATATAACAAATTAATACACACAGCATCAACAACAGATATTAAAAACGTATGAAAAAAAAATCATAAATAGTACTTGAGATATTGGGAGCACTGCCTTAAACAAGGAATGTCAGCTAGCCAAACAGAAGTGAAAGAGGCAGGGGTAAAATGATGAAGCAATAAATAGGGGAAGGTCAAAGACAACAGTAAATGATCAAAGATGGAGTGGCAAAGGAGAAATGTCAGGTGTAAAGGAAAACATAGGTGGCAATTAACATAACCAGTTAATAGACAATAACGAGGTTCTAAAAATGAAAAACAAAAATGAGATCAATTCCAAACACGGTCGTTGTTTTGATAAGGTTTCTGCATGTCTTTTAAGACACGGATATAAAAATGAAAACAGTCTGCAAACCTTGTTTCTTTAGCAAATGTTTTGAAAACGAAAAGGAAAAAAAAAATTGAGAATGGTTTTCGTGAAGATAATAAAAAATGATTAAAAGTTGTTTTCTCTTTTCCGTTTTCATTTCTATTACTTACCAATAATATTAAATTAAAAAATAAATTATTAATTACCAGTTATATAATATATTAATTAATAATTAATAATTAATAAATATATATTAGTTAATAACTAATAAATATATATTAATTAATAATTAATAAATAGATAGTAATTAATTAGTTATTAATTAGATATTAAATATATCAATCATATAATTAATAATTGTAATCTATTAATTAATAAATAGTTTATAAATAATAAATAAATTATTATTATTCAATTAATATTAAATTATAATTAATAATTGTGTAAATCTTTATAAATAATAATGAAATTTTGATAATTAGTAAGTAATTATTATTTAAAGAATTATTATTAAAAACTGATCATGTAATTTCTCAAATAATATATTATTAAGTAAATAATAGTAACTTATTATTTAATTATATAACTAAAAGTTAATTATTTAATTATTAAATAGAATTGTAATAAATTATTAATATACTAATTATTTTTATTCGTACACTAATTAATTACTTATAAACTAATAATTATGAGTAAATTACTAACATAAAAATTTATTATTAATTACTATTTTTTAATTATTTAACATATTAATTTATTATATATAATTTACTTTACTAATATACTCACTACTAATAATATATCCATTATGATTATAATACTGATATATTAATTTTTATTTGCTAATGATTATCAATTATTAATTACTTAATATATCTTTCTCAATCATTCTTCTATCTAGATGTTTAAACCTTGAAATATACTTGTTACTTTTTCATATTACCTACACGAATACACGACTATGCGCTCATTTGGTATGGATTTTACTTTTGTATAACAAAAAAAGTAAAAGTTGTGAATTTTTAGTAAGTACTTGGATAAGAGAGTTTAATTGGTCAAAACTTTTAAAATTTTCTAATAAGTAATAAACATGTTAGAACAAAGTTTATAATGTCATAATAAAATTATAGTATAAATTTTAAAGTCTATTCAAAAGTATTTTTTTGAAAGTCTCATTTTGTAGTTTTGATCGTAGAAAATCGAATTACTTTTGACACATCATCAAAACACTAGTGAAACCTCCAGAAAGACAAAAATTATTTTTATTAAGCTCCCCAAACATGCCTCATCGCGCAATACACAAATTTGATTGAAAAATATGTGGGGCTCACATCAATATTATACTCAGCACTCGGTGGGGAGATATGTATGGTCCTGTTAACTTCATGGATTTGAGTTTTTAATTCGAGTTGAGATGTGACATTTTTTGAGAGCTTTTCATTGTAGCAAGAAAAGTTAGATGTGGCATTTTTTGATAAATTTTTACTGTAGAAACTTAAAACTGAAAACTCGAATCGGTGAAATGAAACATTGATATCATCATACTTTAATACACCAGTTCAAGCACCTTATCTCTCGGTCAAAACGAGAGAAATGTTTGAAAACAAGTAATCTACCTCTCACAAATGCATGCGCAACCGTTAACGAGATTATTTACACTTTTTGACTTGGTAGTTAGTTAGTACTTTGATAATTATTTCCTAGTTTCAATGGAGATAACCTCCGTGTCCCAAGCTCTGCAACTCCACGCCCAAATGCTCAAATCCGGCAACACCCAAGACCTCTCAAAACTCTTCACTTTCTCCGCTCTCTCTCCCTCCGGCGACCTCACTTACGCCCGCCTCATTCTCGACTCTCTCCCTTCCCCAACTTCTTTCCACTTCAACACCATCATCAGAGCCTACGCCCAAAGCCCCGACCCCATTAAAGCTCTCCATTTCTTCCTCGACCCGACCCGTGTATCTCCCCGGCCCGATAAGTTCACGTACCCGTTTCTCCTGAAGTCGTGCGCTAAATTGAGGCTGACCCACGTTGGGAAACAGCTTCATGGGCTGATTGTGAAGTCCGGTTTGTGTTCGGATAGATATGTTCGGCATTCGTTGATGCATAAATATGCGAAATGCGGTGAGTCGGGTTACGCGTATAAGTTGTTTGATGAAATGCCTGTGAGAGATGTGGTGTCTTGGACGTGTATTATTGATGGGCTTGTTGACAATGACAGGCCTTTGGAGGCGATGAGGTTGTTTGAGGAAATGGTGGAGGACGGGGTTGAGGTTAATGAGGCGACAGTGGTGTCGGTTCTGAGGGCGTGCGCGGATACTGGGGCTTTGGGTGTCGGTAGGAGAGTGCATGAGCTGGTTGAGGAGAGAGGGATTGGTTTGAAGGGTAAAGTTAGAACCGCGCTTATTGATATGTATGCGAAATGTGGGTGCATAGAGAGTGCGAGAAGAGTTTTCGACGAGGATGGTGTGGGAAGAGATGATGTTTTCACTTGGACTGCTATGATAGCTGGGTTTGCAAGCCACGGGAAATGTCGAGAAGCTATTGAATTGTTTAATGAGATGCAAGAGTTAGACATAAAACCAGATGATAGGACAATGACTGCAGTTCTATCGGCTTTTTGGGATGTCGGGTGGGGGGGGGGAGCGGTTGGGTGAGTGAAGGTTACACGTACTTGAAAACCATGCACAAGAAGTATGGAGTTTGGCCTGCTATTCAACATTATGGATGTGTGGTGGATCTTCTTGCTAGAGCGGGACGCTTGAGAGATGCCGAGGAGTTCATTAGGAAAATGCCAATAGAACCCGATGAGGTTCTTTGGAGAACTTTGATATGGGGTTGCAAAGTTCATAAAGATATGAATCGAGCAGAGCGTTTGATAAAACGTCTCGAGTGCCAAAAGTTGGAATCAAATGATTGCGAGAGTTTCGTGCTTATTGGCAATGTGTATGCATCTGCAGGAAAATGGCATGACAAGGCAAGGACAAGAGAATTGATGAACAAGAGAGGGCTT